ACACGCAATGTGTTTATACGCTACAGTGTTACTTCATAAAACACAAGTAAGGTACTAGCGGTTTTATTACACCTTTGGTTTGGCTGTAAAGAAATTGTTAGAAAACTCAAACAGCAACTGTTCTGGAGCTGTTCCTAAGATTGCTGCTATATTTTCTCTTCTGAAGTCATCTCCTAAACATCGCTGATGTATTTTACAAGTTTTCATGTACCACCAAGAGAGAAAGACTCCTTTTGACTGCACAATCCTTCTGGAACTCTCTTTAACACTATGCTGGCATAATTTTCAGCTTGTAAAAGGATTTTTAACACTCAATTAAAGCCAATGAAAAGAATGCGCTGTTTTTACGCCAGCTAGCCTAGTGTGGGTTTCATCCTACAACAAACTTCAGCCAGTGTTGGTTTTAGTGGTATGCGTTTTTATCTTCACCCTGCCCTCATACTCCATAAATTGTCAACAAAAATGTGACATCTTCCTCACAAGCCTATATTACTTGCATGTCAAAGAGCCCGTATCGTTGTAGATGCTTTGAGAAAACAACTAAAACTAACGAAGGGTAAACGAGACGAAAAGAGACAGTGCGTTAACGAAATCCCCCCTCCTTCAATCCACTTAGTTTTCGCTTATTACGTCCCAAGGCGCACATGCGTATCTTTTACCGAACGACGCAAGCAATCCAGGACCTACCTAAATGTTTTGCCAGATTTTTTTGGCGTCTGTCATCGTTTCAAGCTTGACTGTCACATTTTAGCGATCGTCCATTTTCCCAGAAATTCCTGTATAAGCATCCATTTTATGTCTGAGTTGTAGGGAAAGCGTCAGTGCAACAAGAGGCACACATTTGTCCTATCTGTAAACACAATGTATGTTTTTTGTCCTTAAAGGTTCATGACATCTTTTCAGTTGTATTTTTTTTCTGTTCACTGTCATATACGCATTGTCTGCCACCTGACATCCGGTAGCCATTGTTGCTGTAGCTTTCGTCGCATTTCGCTGGTCTTTGCAATGGATGTGGTCTTTGTTTTCATTGAGAATCAGACAAAAATACGTTACTTTCGTCTGTGTCCTTTCTCTCTCAACACGACGTGTGAGATAACACATCACGCACGTGGTCACTCATCCTAGCATCTTTATTACGTGTTTTTACCTGCGTAACATGTTTTCGATGCAACGCAAAACCTCCCTCGCGAGAAACCACAGCGAAATAATTAATTACTTTCACAAAATTGAGGGGTTTATTTTCTCACTAGTCATATCCTTTATCACAACATATTGACTTAATTCTAAACAAATACCCATTCATTTCCTATCAAATATTATTGTTATATATATACAACATTAAGCGCAACACACTTAGCGACAAGGAAGCGGTCCACGTATGCTTAAATCAAGTTAACACTGAACTCACACAAGGTCAAGATAACAAAGAAAAATGAAATAAAACATTCGTCAATCAATATTATTTTTATCAAATAACCAACCTGCTATTTGATTGACCTTGATGAACCTATAATATTTGGAAAACCCCACTGCTAGCGTTTTATCTAGCCACGTGTTATTTCACGTATGTAATCCCTGTGTACATGTTACTCCCTTTAACATGGATTGACGACCGCTGCTGGGTTCTGTGTCAAAAAGACGGGTTTATGATTTGAGCGTTTGTGCTTGACAGGGCGATTCTTATCCATGTATTTACAAAATAGATTGTCCCCAGCTATGGCTTTAGCAGATTCGTTATTTGAAACCGAAGCGTAGAATGTCAACGGGAATGACATTATTTTGTGTACTTAAGAACTTCAGTGTTTTTGTTGGAACTTTGAAATTCACTTACAGTGTTTCCATCCTTCACGAACAAACAAACTTTGAAAATCAGCACCAGGTTTTTCTATAAGAAATAATGTCATCATATCTAAGTACACTGCCCTCGTATACACACATCAATTAGACGCATACTGTATATGATAGATGTTTCTAATCTGTCATGTCTGTATTTATGAAAATACAAATTCTGATAATCAATATTTCGCTATAAATAAAAAGAATATATTTTCTCATATGTAAGATTTAAGGTTTATGTGCGCCGTGAATTATTATACTATAAAAAGCAGCGTTAAACCCAACTCACTCACTTACCGTTATAGTGTACGTAGTTAACCATAGCTCATATTTGTCACTATTCATGATATCGAGAGTGCAATCGGCCTGGTTTAAGCTAGGGGCAGTTCGCCATCAACGCTGGCGCAGGCACTGATATGTTTGTGTGTTTAGCTAGCCCTCGGAGTCACACACTTATGGCAATAAACGTCATTCCTAGTAATAATGTACATACTCTATAGCCATGGAGAGGTTCCGGCAGTATATAAAATCCCAAATTTACATTCAACCGTAAACGAAAACTAGGTATCCAATCTCATGGAGACGCGATTTCCCCCTAATCAACTCATATTTATACTTTTACAAACGGAAATCGCAACTTTGATGTATGCTACCAACGCGACCGTTTACTGGACCGCGCCTACACATTTAACTGCTTTTATTCCCTGTTAAACATTTTGTAAGAATATCAAAAGTAATAATCAGATTAAAACGCGATCTTTCCTCGAGAGTATTTCTTTACAAATTTAATTGTTAAATAATTATTATCCTGAAGATGAAGTTTTAGAGCTTTTTGTCAACTGCTTTCATGCGACAGCTCAAACAGCGCGATTAGTCGAAACAAGCCAATGATTGACAATGAACTATACAATTTTATTGCGCACCGCATAGCCTATTTTAAAATCAAACCATGACTTAATGTTGTTGTTCTTCTTCCTGTGCTCGTAAAACTAACGACCTCTGAACGTAATTCAATACGTACCTTGCCCATAACTACAAATTATCAAATATTGATAATGCTGGCTGTATTATGGCGGGTATGGGTATAGAATCCTCAGATAGTAGCTCTGTGAACACCTGGTATTAATATGAGTTTTTGTTCGGTATTTACAATAGAGTCAAGTCGCTCTTTCACATCTAGGTTCATTGACAGTCTTATCACGAGCGCAAGGCATTCAAACTATAGCCTGTTTTGTAGATCAGCAAGACTTTAGTCAAGCATGGACTGCTCATTTGGGCTTTGTCAGTGTTCAACACGTCGGGTGAAGCGATTGGATTTTCAAAAGCGTTGTCAATAATTCATTTTTCTTGCAAAGGGATATTCTGTTCATTTAGTTCTATGTCTTCAGTATCACAAAACTTGGGCTTCTAATACTGGAAGTGGGTGGGCCTTCATACAGTTATTGCCCATTGATGAAAAACTACGAAAGCGTTTTCTAATGGTAGCCATTCATATCTCTTGCTATCGCTACTATGGTGACTATTTTGGTAGAATATTATTACGTCTCGTGTCGAGGCAGGTCGACACAGTGTGCCGAGGTTACTTTTTCTTGAATGCGAGTCTCGGCAAGAACACAATCTAAATAATTCAAAAGTGGTTGACAGATTGAATGTACCACCTGCGTTTAGAGCGGGTTTAATCAACAATTAGCGCAGTGCGTAAATGATTCGAATTAAAGCAATCTATTCATTTCAGAAGATCATTGGACGTTTGATTTAACGCTTAAATCAGGATTACTTCCCTTGGTTTTGTAGCTGTTGTTTGGATTAATTCATACAATGCCCTAATATACAAAAATATCCACTTGCAATTTATGGGGCTGGGCTAAAGAGATAACCCTTCACATCTCCTCAAAACCTCAAGTAAAGGGCTATCACGCGCCTCTTTCTCAAACAAACCGTCATTGTCGCCATATACTGAGGCAAATGATTTATTTATAATGCATCGAGCAACTCAATTTGTAAGGCAGGATTTTGATAGCCAAGTATTAAACTGTTTTATACATGACTAGGCCAGTGTCATGATGAGATGCTGCCTTTTAAACATCCATCGGGTGAAGAAAAACCCTTGGAAAAAGTTATAACAGAACGCTTTGAATAGAATACCAAACTATAATCCCCTTCCCTGTTGGGATAAGTCTATTTCATATTCAAGGCGCTGTTTAAATTATATTTTTAATATCGGCTGTATCACATTGAAAGGATTTATAACGATTCTACTATACCGCATACGATTGGTCGTGGAATCGTCCTGCCGTAAACTGGTCGCGCTCTTCAAAGATAGAGTCGCTTTTCGGCATGTCGAAAAACCGCTCTCCCTGATCAGATAAAACTATTCGGCAATATTCGAGGCCGGCGCCTGTTTTATGTCCCTATCAACTTTATTCGCTTCTCGAGCTGAAGCTATAAGCGGGATTTATGGACAGAGAGGTGTTAAAATGGGTATATCCGATCACATCCAACAGTACTTGGTCATTCTGTAAGATGGATTTGAGTGTTGACCATTTAAATTCCTTTTACACACACGGGCGATATATACGAAGGCCTATAAACTTCCCATGGAGTCTCATTCTGTCAACATATATGAAAATGTAATAGACGCCCCATCTGTTTTAACGCCAAATAAAAGACCGTCATTTCTTATGTCTTGCCAACAGCTAACGGCCTATATAAGATACGATACATCTTACTCTCACTTAAGTTTGTGACATGTATCGAGGGGAGATAACTGATGTATTTTAAAGGTCATTGACCATTCTGAGTGCAATTTAATGAAATATCAGTGTTAGCATATCCCGTAACTTAGTGACACAGATTATGTGCACTTGATAACACGTTCTTGAGATGAATCAAGTTGGAAACTGTTTTTAGTCCTACTCATTTGTTTAACTTCTAACCTATCCTTCTCAATCGTAATCTTTTGGCAATAACCTTCCAGTTTAACATCTCTAACAGGAAGGACATTCTATTTCACCACTTCGTTTTTATAAAAGTATGGCTGAAATTTTGCCGAGGTGACGTTATATTATAACTCACACTTTATGTAATATATTCGCTTTCGGTTGTGTGTATGATAGTTGATGAACATTCGCATTATTTAATACATATTTTTTTTTTTTTTTAAGGTATGGTTCCAGAACAGACGAACTAAGTGGCGCAAGAAACACGCCGCAGAAATGGCTACAGCCAAGAAGAAGCAAGAACAGGCGGAAGACTTGGAAGGTTCTGACTTAGAAGATGACAATTTTGATGGCAGTCGCCATGACAGTTACGAAGAAAGTCCACTTGATCATAACGGTGTAAACGTGTGTTGAGATGCCACACAACAGACTCCTCTGTCCAGATGTAGATCTACCAGTGCTAATAATTACTCTGTGTGGTCCGGAAGTGACTGGTGCTGCAAGTTAGCCAATGAGAAGTCAGATCTCAGGCACGGCGTGGATCGGTTGCCATGGCAATAGATCTCAAGATGGCGGCTGGTCGCCGCGTATGACGCTATATAGTTATATGCCCATGATGAAGACATTTACGAGTTGGTCGCTCTCTGATCTACGTTGTTACTTAGTAACGATGTTTTGCCATCATATCTATATTGCTATGTCCTCTCGTATTGAACTTCCGGTCACCGAACTGATGCTGTGACCTTTAACCTTCAGCTGTAGCCACATAGGATCACCCATACCCTATCTCCCAGCCCTTTGGCAAAGGATAAAGTCAAATATATGGTTATGACTGCTATAAATACCCATTTCATATAACCCTACGACAAACATTATCGTGGGAGGTTTGAGTTAGGTAGCTCTATAAGCCATGTGACGCAGAGGTTGTCGGGATACGAAGTTGACCTACTGACCTTTCCCGAAAACCCCACCCTGCATTGAACAGTCAGATCGCTTTTCTGCCATAGAGCTGTGATGTCAATAGCAAGCTATACATCACCTTGCATTGACAGGGAAAGTCGACGTTTTCATCTGACGGCAATTTATCAGGATAAGGGAAAAATAGAAAGAATTCCAAAATGACTATCGGCTTGCAGGTTGCGGTTAGGTGTGTTGTCTAACAATAAAAACTATGTTTCGTACTCATTTATTTGTAATATTTATCTTGAATTTAACTTAAAATTCGCTTTCAAGAAAAAATATATTTTTATTTATGATATGTGCATTTTAACAGCTGGGTCTGAACATACAGATTTTGTAATGCAACAACTGTTTCGGTTTTAGTCGCCTGGAGGGTATATAATGGGCTGGTCTTTCTTACGGGTGGTGTTCAAACCAGGAACACATCGCCTCTGCCATGGAAATCCATGGCACCAGAGCAAGATAACATTGTTGAAAAGAACAAATCTTTAAACCCGGCAACCGGCTTGGGGAAAGGGTGTTTGCATAGTCAAGTCATTTATTCTGTAGCTAAGAAGTTATCTGTACCACACGATTTCTAACAGACAGCAATGATTTATCACTTGAGGACAGAATGATCGTTTCACTGACCCTAGCAAGATGGACACTCTCTGAGAACCACAATGTCATGAAACCAAGAAAATAGTTTAGTCTCGTTTTATTCAAACTTATATCAGTCTTGCATATTAATTATATTTCGACCATACATCTCATATCCAATATATTTAATTCGTTCAGTTACAAATATTGATGTTTGATTCTATTTTCGTTGGTCAAATAATATTCCAAAATCGCTAAAACGAATGCTATTGCAATTTTATAAATATTTTCTTGGTTTAAACATCACTTTTCATTGACATGACATTTCGACGAGTACATACTGACAGAGGTTTGTTATATGAACCTACCATCCTACCTACCGCACGACAGCTTGTATTGTTATTAAACCATGCGTATTTCGTTTCATACATTTATGTATGGACTTTGTTTGAGAAAAAATGACAAGTCGGAGAAGCCATGTTTGATCGATAATGATGTCATTAATGCATCCGATCACGATGGGCACACTTTCAAAGTGCTATTGATAAATTTGTAAAAATTGATTTGTTGTTAACAACCATTTGAATAACAATTGACTCTAATGATCCCTGCAAACTGAATTATGTCAATGAAAACAATCCAGATCATAAAACGACCGTTGCAAACCGGGTATAATTTCCCTGGTTCAATAAGCATTTGTCCGGGGATTAGTATCGAAATATTCTATGATTGGGTATCAAGTCCAACTGTCCACCATTTGCCAAGCGACCGCCTAAATATCGGGCGGCTTTTGTCTTGAAATCAATTAATTCTCCCTCAAGTTGAAGAGGTAATCATTTGTTTAATTTTGCAATCACCGTGATGTAGTGTCGATTATTGAAATCCTTGCCAGTGTGCAGACAAATTATACTTGAGACATTAACATCCGACAGCAGTTGTATGGCTAGTAGTATTGACGACTGTCGCAAGGGTTGACTTCGGTTGATAAATCGTGAGCCTATTACGTTGAATGTGGAAATTGTGCAAAATAAAACACATTCTATGACAACATATTATAATAAATACCAATTGTTGAAATTAATTGTTTTCCACAACATTGATTTATATCATTCTCGATTAACGCAAAGAAACAAATGATATCAGAGTGTGAAGAGAATGATTTTGTTCATATTATGAACAATTATATGTATTCAAAGTGCAATCTGTTCCCAAACTGAGGGTTTATATATATTCGTGTTGTGACGCTGGAACACGAGCTATGAATCGATGTCAACCTGTTAGTCGAGGCGCAAAGTATTTAGATTAGCATCCCCCTACACAAACACCTGAGCGTGTTGACAGCTTATAGCATAAGCCGGACTTTTGTTTACTTTTATATCTTTTTGTTACGTCTCTGTTCTGTTTACTCATAGGAAGTCTTATACACTTCCACCATTATCATATAGATTATCATATAGATTATAAATCAATATCACTATTGCTTTTTAGTCTGAAATCTGTGATTTTAATTTCATGACTATGTATTTTATCCAAGTTCGTTCAAGTTACGTTTTCACCAAAAAAAACTCAGTTTAGGTGAAGTATATGTTCTCTTTAAACGAGTCTTTTACAAACCTACAATGGCGCGTAAATGTCTCGTGTCTTGCCAATGTGATATTGACAACTAGTGTAGATTTCAATCAATTCCTACAACGGCAACCTCGAATGATGACATACTGAACGTATGTGATCAATATCAGACAGAGTCTTCCAACAATCACATCTTCTATAACTTATCTTTCTGAAATGTAACCTTGTCAATATCTTGATCATATGGCCACTGCTAGCGTGTTTAAAAGGGTAAACTATTGTACATTGACCATAACCAAAATGTATTTCAGTTAAGATTGATGTCAGATTTAGCCTTTGTTGTTTCCTCACGTTTGATTGACAGTTGTATATTTCTGACCCGATTAGCGATATACGTGATGTAATATTAAATATTTACATTTCACGTCCTCTGTGTGGATTTCTATTGAAATGTACAAACATGATTTAAGTGTATAGTATTTAAATGAAATTAAGTTTATTGTTAATGATATTATTGAAACAATGTTTCCTAGTCAGATGTACCTGTATGTTGAACTTTGAGCTAGGAACTAGATGATACTGAATGCCATCTGTGTGTCAGCTATTCATACCATCCATTAACACAAATTAGGGGTCTGCAGTATCATCACTATTTTGTATTTTCATTGAACGGAAAACTGTTCCAAAGCTTTATTTATTAATTCCGAAAATGAGGATATTAATGATGTAAATCCTCAGAACGCAGCACTACCAGTAGAGAAAATATTTCATAGTCTATGAGTAGGAATTTATTTCCTAGCGGAAGGTTACAATTATTGCACGATGTGTCAATTATTCCTACTCCCCTATGGCTGCTTGTACATGACAAAATAGTTCCGCCCTAGACCCAGGGTTGAAATTTTACAGGGGAGGTAATCGCAATGTCAGGTCTTATGCGGCCCTGAAGGGCCCCTTACGATGTGTATAATTTGTTTTAAGATGGTTCGAATAAAGAGAGCCTCGAAATTGACTATGTCTTTGTGTGGTGAATTATTCCAACTTTCTTAGTCGCCTGGGAAAAGGAGAGCCAATAACAGGCTTTGTTCTTTTTCTGTTGGGGCTTACCACTTTAGGCTAATCAGCACTCTAACAGTCAGATCGCCGAGCCGGCAGGGCGCTATTAATTTCTATCAGGTAGCCAAGCCAATTAATAATCTTGAATTTGCGCGATAAATCATCCATTTAAAGAGAGCTGATCCTCGCAATGGCACATGCCGCCGAGAGTAAATTATTTGTACCCCACACTCCTGAGAAGCACATTCTATTCAAGTCTGGCTAGCTCTCCGTATCTACAACATGACGGATAGCATTGAGGCTGGTCTCAATACCAGGGTGAGACGCGAACAAAGACAGGAATCTGATTGATAAATTTCAACCCATCACATTCTCAAATAAGCGTCTTTCCGACTCCCTCTGTAGCAAAAATATGTCGCCTGATCCCCTTACGACTACTTGCAGCTATTTATCTCGGCAAAGAGCCCGGTAGTGAGGTTTTAACGTAATTTGTACGTCTTCCAAGTTAACCTTTCCTAGCCCCTATTGTCAAAGCAGAGCAGGACGAATTGGTAAATCGCATTTGAAGAATAAGGGATGTTCGGTGATGACGGAGGAGAATATTGGTCGTGAGGAAGATATGATTGTAACGACTGCACCCTGAAAGTGCTTAGGTTCAGACGGTGGATGCTTTATATGATGAACACGAAACAATCCTGGAAGAAGTCGATAGGAAAGCATTACTGCCGATTCGAAAATTGCATTTTTCAAATTTACGATAATTGTGCCTATTGAAAGTTGACATTTAAAAACAGTGTGACAACAACTAGTAGGATTTATATGTTTAATCAAATTAGTTGTGACAGTTCATTTTCGGGGACATGGCTTTAGTGATATGTAGCTGTGATATTTCCAAATTTGTAAATTGGGACCATGGTCATGTGACACTCAGTACGATTTCAAAGGGTCAACATTATAGAAGCCATTTCCTTACTCACAAGGAACTTCTATCACCACACCGCGACAGAGAAATCGATATTTATTTTAACTTGTTCATATATATTTCCTCTAATGAAAGGTATATTTATGTTTGACGCAACTATTTCCACGTCAGGGCTTATGATCGAACCACAAAAAGAAACCAGAGAGACACGTTTGAGTTTCGAGTTGATCAGCTGACGTATTAAGGAATTATGTTTAGAAACATACAATGCATGTTTTGGTTCTGTTATAGTTTTTGAAAACTGCTCTTTTAGTTTTTACTTGTCTGTCTCTCAGAATATATTACAAATATGAATCCAACTCAAGTCTAGAATGATTTGGCAAGTCTAGATTGCTTCAGCTCTGAAATTAAGCATTGTTCTGGGTTCCATTTTGGATTTTATTTTGGATTTTGTAGATACACCTTTTAAATAAGATAACTTCTTACATATCTGAACCAATATTTTTATCATCTTCTCTATCTTTAAAGTTTATGTGTCGAAATATATTTTACGCAAACACAATTTCATGAAAAAACTACAAGTGTCTTAATTTACTTTTTGCAAAAAATATAATAAAACACGCATAAATACATATCATTTGCATCTGTTGATAACTGACAAATAATAAAAAATTAAATGGACAACATACATGTATAATTTTCAAATCAATATTTTTTTCTGGTCGTGTACACCCCAAACCACATATTCAGACGGATGGGGATAAATATTGATGCCTCTTTAATGCGTGTTGGGGTAAAAACAATAAGTCACCCTCAACCTTTTTTCGCATTTCAAACCGCTGCATATTTCTGAACGAAACCAAATAACGAAACATTTCACTACAAGTCTTTGAATGGCATTTAGAAGTGATACACACGAGGAAGAGAATTTATGGATGTAAACTTCTTTATTATGAGGATGATCAGATGAAGGAGTAAGCATATACTCTGAAACGTTGTGTTCCTCATAATAAAGAAGTTGTCATTTACATATTCTCTTCCTTATTTCACTACAGCTTGTGAACACACAAACTGGTGCGCCGAATTGAGTATTGGGTGACGTATTTCACGAAAATCATGAACGAATTAATTAAAATGATATATAACAGTTACTTTTGACTCTATACAAAAAAGTCTGAATCTATTTGAAAAGCCACAAACACACAAATATATTTATTTAAACCGTTTTGTATATTGTACTGTGGTGTACATTCACACACATTTGATCCACACAATTTATGTGTCCACTTACAAGAAAGCCGTCTTTGTAGCTGGAATATTGCGACGTTAAACAACAAACAAAACCAACTTACAAGCCAAGGCTTCCACGGTCGTTCATGGAGACGTTTAATCATGTGTGCACCTGCATATGTCTGTAACGCTCAGCCAGTGCTGTTGCTAAGCAATCATACTCACACAATACATATCTACTGGACGATGAAATTTTACATTACTTTACGTTTTACTTATTTCCTATTGCACATAATACATACATATGTGGAAACGAATTAGGGTAGTACCTACATGCTATATACATGTACAATTAAAGCCCTTCGCGGGAGCCATATCATCCTTGAAAAAGGTTCTAACAAATAAAACTCAACCATTAACGAAACATAAAAGCGAGAAATGCAATTAAAACGTTTCATGAATGTGATATGTCCTCCGAGGGAGTTTCCCTGCTTGGTGAATTTAATGTCAAATCTCCACCTTATAACAAACGTTCTCCTCGGGGGAATTGTACGCTATCTGTTTTAGCTGAATGTTTGTTATGCTGAAAACTGGTGACACAAACTTGTTTAAGGTTTCAGATTATTAAACCCATATAGGATAATGTAGCATTATTGGAATTCGTGGCGCGGAACAGACATGTTAGTACATGAATATCATACGGAGAACTTCACACGCAAATCATCACGCGTTAGTCAGGAGGAACTGTATATCACCAGGAACATATTGGTGAATATATACAAATATTTAATAAATAAATATTAATGCTGTGCATTTTTGTAATTCTTTGAAATAACTACTTCCCATGGCATTTATTTTGTTCTTCGATATATTTTATTTATTAACCCAACAAGAAACTTATCATTATATCACAAGGGTATGGCCCCATAATCGGCATAGCCGAATATTCGTTATAGCCGATATTTGTTGTATATCATGTCAGAGGCTGTTTTCTCATAGTAATTGTTACTAAACTTACACTGATACAATTCTCACAAATAACCAACCTCTCCAAGTATAATTGTAAAATACATGTACACATTATTTTTTCGTTGTGACAGTCAAACGTTGGACACTCGAAAAAACATAAATAAGAAATAACCTTTGTACATTGTGCCGGTCAAATACCTAATGACAAACAACTGGCACAATTCGTCGATTTTTATTTCCAGGACATTAAGTAATCACCCTTGTGTACACATTTTCCCCTAATGTTATCTTCATATAGCGAGTGCTCTGACCCTACCGGGTTAACATTACAGATGTTTGCATATAATAAAAACATCGGATGACTGTATCCATACTACCCGTCATGGTCCTTTAAAGGCAATTTACTTCAATGAACGTAAAAGCATCCACACAAATTTGTCCATTGGACAATGCATTGTGGGAAGTGAACCGAAAATTGTGCCAATAAATTCTGCAATCAGTCACTCTCAGATTGTGGCAAACTTTATCAAATTTTCCAGCGTCCATTTCAATTGACCATTCCGCCTGACCAGTGCAAACAATAATTCACACAGATGGACTTATCACATTAGTTGGATTACACGGATACAAACAGCGAGATGGATCGCACTTGCTTAAACCACGGCGATACAGCCAGAGCTGGTCATGGTGCCTTGGCGTTGTTGTAGACAATACCTCATCAGTTGGCTTTGTCATGTTTGGACGAGTTTCTGTTATGACATTGTTGCGGATGTTGCTGGGGAAAACATTATAAAATTTTAATTTTTTTCTCGAAATATGTTTTTAAACTTTTGATATACCATCGGGGATAAAGGAAGACAGGATTCTACACTGCCTCTAATTTCTTTATCTTAACACCTTGCATATCCCAACACACTCTTCTCGAGTCCCGCGTGGATTCCGGGTTAGAATAGGACCCCAGCAACCAATGCTGGTAATGATAGACGACTTGTAAAATTAATGGCTCGGGTAGTAACCCGATCGTTGCCATCAGTATTAATCATCGGATGTTCTGGTCCAGATTCGATTATTTGCAGGCCGCCTTCATACAGCTGAGCTGAGTGCGGCTTTAAACAACAAACCAACAAAATTTCTAGAAATGATCTTGGAACCACAGGACCTTATACTGAGAGCACTTGTCAACGTTGCTATCACCTTAAAGCTACATCCCATGGTGATATAAAGATAATCTTTCCCCACAATAAATCCCCATTAATCAGGACGTGACAGTTCACAGGGGAACGGATTCCGGATTAAACAATTATTGTTAAAAATTGCAAACATTGAAAAATATGTTTCAAAAGAGTTATTTGCAAGCAACACAAACATTCTATTTTTATTCAAGTACAATATTAAAGAGCATACATTCATTTAACGATTCCCAGATGGGGGTAAATATGACAATGACTCAAGATCTTAATGTCTCCAAATCATTCCCAGTATTCAGTAATATTTACATATTAATTAACCTGCTGGCACTCGGCATAAAGGGGCTAAAACAGGGACTGGACGGCTCGGAGTCAGTATGCTGTGCCTTAGTAGGGCACCCACGTTAAAGTGCGTCAGGATGTCTCAGTGGGCTGGCACTATGAACCCGGACTAGCCACACACACACACACACACACACACACACACACACACACACACACACACACACACACACACACACACACACACACACACACACACACACACACACACACACTCACTCACTCACTCACTCACGCACACATACACACACACACACACACACACGCGTGCATACACGTCGCTTATATACACAAATTAACGTCAAA